GGGGGGGGGGATGACCCCACTCCAGTCCCAGTATGTTCTGTTCGATAATTTCATTGGTCAGTTTTTTTTTTTACCTTTATTTATACAGGTTGTCAAACGAGGACCCCCCCCCCCCCCCCCCCAAAAAAAAGAAACGTGTGTCGGGCAGCTATGTGAGCACCTGGGTGTGATGAAGCTAAATGTTTTGGTGGCATGAAGCTTGTTAGCCCGTCAAAACACTAAATAAATCCATAAATTAGCTAGTTCAAAGCCTGTGAAAAAGAAGCGGCTTATAGTCTGGAAATTATGGTAACTAAGAGTCTTTCCCAACTCATACACAAAAGCCAAACTAATAACACAAAAACTTTGTTGACAACATAGCTGGTAACCTTTGGAGTCAAGACTGTCTGTTAGCAAAAAATCTCATGAGAAATAGGATGGATTTTAATAAAACCTTCAGAAAATATTCAATGGATATACATCAACAGCTGATTAATGTTTACACTTATTCCAATTCAAGATTAACACTACAGCTAATCAACCTCTTCTGACACAAATTTTATATAACAGTCCGTTTTACAGATATTGAGCTAAAAAGATTATTGCGTAAGATCCCTCAATGTTAGTTTCATGGTATGAACAACATAGATATACGGTTTAAACTGGGATAAAATGCAGTGGGCAATATGTTTTAATTTAAGGAATTCTGGGCTTTTAATTTCGTTCTGCTGTTGAAACCCCATCATTAGATGAAGCACTTGGTTAGAAACGAAGGCATGTTTTGAAAGAAAATCCTATTAGATAGTCCATTTTGATTTAGCTGAATCTGTCTTCCTGAATCTGTCCATCCATCCCACAATAAACCCATTTCCATCGGTCTCTCCCTGCAGGTTGCCAATTTATCTGCTTGAGCTTACAGAAAAAGGCAGCCTCCAGGGACAGTCTGCAGAGACCCCTGTTTTAATGGAAGCTGAAGCTGCAGGGCTCCCTCCTACACAGAGAGCCCCCATACAAACTGACACACACACTGCAGCCTGCTAACCGGCACATCTGGGACTGTAATTACACGTGCTGTGAAGAGCCCCACAAGAATTCTACAACGGGGGGGGGGGGGGGGGGGG